CCCAAGGAGAGGATTGGAACCTGGGATTGCCAGACCCAAAGTCTGCAGGAATCTCTCTGATGGCCTTCCTTGGTTGTCCGGTGCTTTCTGTTCACCACTCTGTGTGACTCAGGGTGCTGGGGGTGTGGGTTGGGACCAGGGGTTCTGGACAGTAACAGTTCTCCCCATTGAGGGGGTCTGGAGAGAATGGAATCCAGGGGTCACAGTCTGTATTTACCCTGGGCCTTAGTTTCTCAGCTGTGAAATGGCTGCTTGTCAGTCTCCCGGCTGTGACCAGGCTTTAAGGGCTTTGTAGCCCAGTGCGGCTCCTCCCCTTTAGTTCTGGATTCCAGGGGGAGCTCCCAGGTATTCACCTGAAGTGACTGACTTGCCCAGGGCCCACTGGATGTGCTTTCCATGCATGGGGCCCATCCACCAGGTGCTCTCCAATAACTCACTCCTGCCCCCACGCATGCATCCCAAAGCCTCTTAGAATTACACCTTGTCTTTGCTGATGTGGCAGCTGGCCCTGCAGGCAAGAACAATGCTAGATGTAATTTACCGGTCTTGGCACAACCACACTGGCCTCCTGGGGCTGTGGAAAGAGCTGGGTTAGGAGCCAGGCCAGTCGCTGGGGATCGTGGGAGCCCATGGACACTCACTGTTCCGTAGTCTGCCTCCCAGACCTGGTGTCCTCACCTGGAGGGCCACCACAGCCAGGGCTCTTACCTGCCCAGTGCCCCGCCCCCCAGCAGGGCTGTCCGTGCTGAGAGTCCGCCACCAGCTGGGAAACCTTTGAAGTTCCCACCTGTATCTCGAAGATAAAACGTTATGCAGAGTTGACTCTCCACAGGTGCCCAGTCTGTCCTGGGGCCCTGCGTGCCCTGCCCCTGGCCTGCTGTGTCAGAGGGAGGCCTGTGGTCCCGAAGCCACAACGGTTCTGATCCAGAGGCCCGATCGAGAATGGGCAAAATCCCGGCAGCGTGGGCCCCTGCTGGTGTGCACGCGGCAGTGGCTGCCGCTGGGCCCGGGGCCCTGGGGCCGGCCTCAGGGAAGAGGCGTCCCCACAGAGCCTCGTCCTGCTGTCCCGGGCCCTCCACGCCTGCACCGGCCAGCATAACACATCTGAGGACTTGCAGAGCCAAGCCAGTTCCCCACTTGGATTCAGAGTAGTTCCGGTTTCCTCAGAAGCCACACCTGAGTGCTCCTCGATGGTCAGGAGTACAGGGAGGTCTGGTTTTGTCTTGCATCCCTGCTAGGCCGCTTTCTGGCTGCCTGACGTGGGCAGGTTTTTATTTTGCAGCACAAGCGTGACACCGCTCACACATATGAAGGTGAGTGTGTGTTGGGTGTCTGGTGCGGCACCCGGACGGCCACATGGCTGCTGAGTAGAAGGTTGTCTGGAATCTCCCGGTGGTGCCAGGTCCGCCTCTGCCCGCTCCTCCCACGCCCCCTCCCCTCACACCCCTCCTGTGGGGCTGTCCACCCACGCACGCACTCACTCAGGTTTCATTAGTCTCGTTAGTTTCATTAGTCAGTCTGATATGGCTCTTGAGTCTTTCCTTGACTTTTATGACCTGACTTAAAGGCCAGTTATTCTGTGAAAGTTCCTCATTTTGGCTTTGTCTGACTTGCCTTATGATTAGATTTAGGTTATCCATCTTTGGCAGAAATGTCCCACCATTGGTGCCTGCACTCTTTTCGCTGTGTCCTGTCCGGCATCACCCAGATGCACTAATGATGCTCACTTACTGATCATTCGCAATGACGCTCATTACTATAACATTCACTTTGATCGCTTGATTAAGGTGGGATCTGCCAGGCTTCTCTGTCATGAAGTTACTCATTTTCCCTTTGTAATTAGTGTTTGATGAGAAGGTACCTTGAAACTATGTAAATACCCTTATGGAGCATTCAGTTTATTTATGTTTTCACTCCCGTGTACACTTTGGTTTCCTGTTTTATTCAGTGGAATACGATTTGTTACTGTCATTATTATTTATTTTAATACCCCGGTGTCCCGCCTTTCGCCCCTGGGAGGTGGCCGGCTGTCCTCGTCTGCCCAGGCCTGAAGGGTTTCCCAGGATGTGCACTCTCAGTGCGAACACCGGGGAAGCGCCAGGCACGCACTGATGAGCTGGCCACCAAACCAGCGGAAGCTCGTCCTGCTGGCTCCGTGCCCTCTAGGCGAGGTCCCTGGCACTCTGTGGGTAGGTCCTTTTTTGCACCATAAGATGTTCCAGGCTCATCTCACGCTTACTCTGACCCAGCCCCAGAATCGCGTATTTCCCCAAGGAGACCTGGGACCAGGGCCTGTTGAGTGCTGGGCTCTACCACACCACGGGGACTGGAGCAAGTGGAGCCCACTCGGCCCCTGCAGGCCCCTCTCATCTGCCTCCGCGCCTGTTCCCTGGCTGTTCACTCTGCCCGGGCCACTCGGCAGACACCCGCCGTCCAGACTAAGCTTCTCCATGAAGCCTGACCCCTCACCCACCCCACAGAGCTGGGCAGTTTAGGGAACCTCCTCATTTTCAAGTAGGTCTTCTCTTTCCACTGGAAGCCTTTCGAGGACAAGCCCCAGTTTCATCTCTGGCTCTTCTGCGCTCCTGCAGGGCGGGAACCAGGCTGTGAAATGATTGGATCTAGTCATGCTCCCTCTTGGAGCAGGAGAGCAAACAGTGAGGGAGAGAGTCTTCAGACTGAAGTCTGTCCTTGAACTCGGGTTTTCTTAATTCTAAAATGGGGCTAATACCTTAGAGTGTTGCTGTAAGAGTAAAATGCCGTAATGTGTATAAAGCACCTATTAGGGTGGTACCTGGCAGGTGGTGAGTGCACCTCTCAGTATCTCCGAGGGAACTTTTCTTTTCTTGAGAGTACATTTATTAAAGCTGGGGGCAGCGAAGTAAAGGAAGGGCTTAGGGCAGAAGAAGCAACGGGATAGTCTGGGCAGCGGCTGTGCTTCGAATCCCAAGAAACGTTATAGGAAAGGAGTGAGCCGAGGTGGGGCTGCTGTCGGCCCACTAAAAAGTCAGAGGAAAGGGGCATCGGAGACGGGGTCAGAGGGTGAGCCCAGGACGAGCCGCCGCCGCCCGCTGCTTCCCGCAAGTCTCATGGGGACCCTCAGAGTTTAGGGGAGAAAAGTAAAGATACGCACCTGAGAGAGAAGGATGTGGGTGTGCTCCAGAGAGAACCCCCGGGGGAACTTTTTATTTAAAATTTTCCCATTATTCCAGAAGCAGAGCTATACAGTTTAGAAAATTAGAAATGCAAACAGAAAAAAAGCCAACAAAAAACCCACCGTGTTCTCATCAGTTCGAGATCGCCGCTTAGCACCTCAGGACCGTGCTGCCCGAGCTGTCTGTGCACGTGTCACCCCCACCCCGATGAGGTCACCCGTGCGGTCCAGGTGGTGATTTGCATTTTTTTTCAGGCAGCAAATCTCCAGCATTTTGATTCAGCAGTTTTTGGCACGTCTCATCCTCGGGCCATGTTCACATTTCTCCAGTTGTCCCAGATCTGTCCTTTCCGGCTGTGGGGTCCCAGCCAGCACCCGCAGTCCAGGACCACACTTTCTATCTGGCTGTCGTGTCCTCTGAGTCTCTTAGTCCAGCCCAGTTCCTCATGACGATCCATAGAAAAGACAGGGCCAGCGACGCTGCGGAACGGCTCCCCACCTGATTTTGTTCTCACGGTGACAGTTTGTTCCTTGCTCCTCTGCGTCTTCTGTAAAGCGAAGTCTGTCCAGGGCTTGATGAGTTCATTGGTGCCTGGAACCCCCAGCAGGTGGTGACGTGTCCTACCTGTGGCCTCCCATACAGTCAGTGGTGCCAAGGCCTCACCCGGGATCAGGGCAGGGCACTGCGACCCTCCCTCACGTGGCTGTGCGTAGGCCTGTTTTAGGAGAAAGCAGGGTGTGTGCTTCCCCTGGTGCTATCTGAACATGAAGTTCCCAGAGGCCTTTTTAAAATGCAGAAAAGTTGTTCCCTTGCTGAGGGGAACTGGATTCTGGGGGGCTGGGCCTTCGCGTAAAGGAATTACAGAACAAGGCTGTGGACTGAGTTTCCTCTTGCTGAGCCCAAATCCCGTCCCCTGGCAGCAGGACTCTGAGCCCGGCGTGTCCCCGTGTCTGTCTGCAGCACCAGATGGAGAACCCTGAGATGGTTCTGTCTTCACTCGCTTTCCAGGCACGTGATCTGGAGTAAGTCCCATCTCTCTGCCACTTCCCAGCCTGCTGGCTGCCCCTGGGCAAGTTACTTCCCTCAAACTCTCTGAGCCTCAGTTTCCTCCGGGATTTCTTGTCTGGCAGAGTTGTTGTGCGGGTTAAATTTTAAAAAAGGTATCTTTGGCTCCTTTCTCCCCTAGATGGAAAGTTCTTTGAAGACAGGTTTAGTAAGTAATAAGAAATCCAAATAACAACAAAAAATGCAGAAAACTGTACTTGAACAACAATAAAATAAGTTTTTTAAAAAGAAAGATATCCAAAGATGCTTATTGAATTAAAAAAGAAGGGAGGACAAATGGTACGGCCTGGTGATAAGTACCGTGGAGGAAGGAAATCAGCCATTTAGGCAATTCCTTTGTTCCTTCATGCCTCCATCTCATTTAACATGTGTCCATACCAGCCTCTGTGCCGAATCAGCTGTGAGCCTCCACCCAGGAAGGTCAAGGGTCCGAGAGGGCACAGATATATAGAGACTCAGTGTATGGGAGTCCAGAAACTCTGACTGGGTAATTCAGGAAGGCTTCCTGGAGGAGGAAACTATGATAAATGGGGAGGTTTGGTGGGGGCTAGAATAGGGGAGATAGACTCTGGATACAGGGGCTGCTGTCTCCTGGCACAGGTGGCTTCTGGGAGGATTGGACAGGACCCATGGCACGTGGTGAGCCCATGCTGGCTTCAGAGGACACTGTTGCTTCCTGTTTTTCTCTTCCTCTCCCCTCCGCCTGTCCCCCCTCTGGTCCCCTGGTACCAGGGCTTTGAGCCTTGTGTGATCCTGACAACCCATGTGTCTGTCTTGCAGTGCCGGATGGAGTGCCGTGATGTGCCAGCCGAGACACTCTATGATGTCCTACATGACATTGAATACCGAAAGAAGTGGGACAGCAATGTCATCGAGACTTTCGACATCGCTCGCCTGACAGTCAATGCGGACGTGGGCTATTATTCTTGTGAGCAGGCCCTGGCACACTGCCCCGCCTCCCTCAGGCCTCCCCTGGCCCACACCCAGCCTCCTCCTCCCATCTTCCTCCTGGCGACTGCCCCCAGGGCCAGGCTGCCCAGAGACCTGGGTGCTGAGATGTAGGGCTGCCCTCCTTGACGTCTCTGTCCACTCCCAGACAGTTGGGTACACACACACACACACACACTTACAAACGCATGTGCACTCCCATGTTCATGTGTACACATTCCACACAAATATATTGGTACACACGTATACAACCCACAGCCATCTGCCACATGTCCGCAGCCATGCGTTTTCATGTACACACATCACAGTAGTCCTGTTGTCGTCTCATACACTCACATATAGAAGCAGGCCAGGCCTGCAAGGTAAGGACTGTGTGAGGGTGTGGGGAGTGGAGCAGGGATGGCTGGAGACAGGAGGGGAGAGGGTTGTACTCTGTCTGCTTCCCAGTTCCAGTTCTGGGACTGTGGTCTGGTGTCGGGGGTAACCTGTTCGGTCCAGGGGGAGCTGGCAGTTAACTAGGCAACCCTGTGGCTGTGGCCTCTGTCATGCCCTCCCTTGCAGGCAGGCAGGCCGGCCAGTGGTCTGGCTGACTTGTCCCTTGCCTTCCACAGGGAGGTGTCCGAAGCCCCTGAAGAACCGTGACGTCATCACCCTGCGCTCCTGGCTCCCCATGGGCACTGATTACATCATTATGAACTACTCAGTCAAACATCCAGTGAGTCGGTGTGCCTCCCCTGCTGGGTGGGCAGGGGAGGTGCCAGGCAGGGCTGGCCCAGCAGGCCGAGCACAGGGAGAGGACCCGGTTGCTACCATGGCTTCCCTGCGACTTCCTACGAGCCCTCAGATTCCTTCTTCTTTTTTTTTTAATCGTTATTTTTTAATTTTATTTGACTTTTAGAGAGAGATAAAGAGAAAGAGAGAAGGAGGGAGGAAGAGAGAAAGAGAGACACATCGATGTGTTGTTCCACTTATTTATGTATTCATTGTTTGATTCTAGTACGTGCCCTGACTGGGGATCAAACCCGCAACCTTGGCATATCAGGACAATGCTCCAACCAACTGAGCTACCCAGCCAGGGCTTGTTTCCTTCTGATATAGTGAGAATAATGGTTCCTGTCTCCCTGCTGGGGCTCTCAAGCAGATGAGGAGAGGGCAGTGTGGGCCATCACTGTGGGTGAGTGGGTGGGATGCGCTGGATTTTGTCGGATGGAGTCCGGCCTGGCCTGGCTGGGAGAGTGGGAGCAGGAGGCGGGGCAGGGCTTCCTGGCCTTCCTTGAGGCTGGGCCGCCTCGATCTCCATGACAGGCACACGTTCTCCAGGACGGGAGGGTGCAGCCGGTCTGGGCAAGGATGAGAGAGTGTATGTGTGCCCGTACACATGCATGTGTGTGCGTGTCTGTGTGCTCATAAACCCTGACCCCAGGCCGGGGTCTTCCCAAAAGGCAACAGGGGAAGCTTAAGAGGGATAAGAATGGCCTAGTCTGACTCTTCCCCTTCTCCTTACCCCAGCAGTAGGCCAGGCCTGGAGTGGACACCAGGGGTATGAACTAACTGTGTGTGTGTGTGTGTGTGTGTGTGTGTGTGTGTGTGTGTGTGTACTCACAAAGACACCTCCTTTGCCCCTACTCTGAGTCTTACCTCCCTGTGCCTTCCATCCCCAGAAATACCCACCTCGAAAAGACTTGGTCCGGGCTGTGTCCATCCAGACGGGCTACCTCATCCAGAGCACGGGGCCCAAGAGCTGCGTCATCACCTACCTGGCCCAGGTGGACCCCAAAGGTGAGGGCTTGGCCCTGGCAGACTACCATGGGATCCTCCCCTGTACCTCAGGACATGGGACTTGAGCTCCTCAGGATCCAGAAAGGCTTCTGTTAGGAGCTGTTTTGTATTTTGGGGCATACCTCCAAAACACCATTGGAACCACAGTTTGAGACTTTATAGTGGTTTGAAAAGCCAGGGCCAAGGTAGTTGCCACTGTCCCGTGATGAAGCTCAGTGCTGTCTTCCTGGGCACCCACACCCCTGTACTCTGACTTGCTCCCGCTTACTGGCTGCTGTCTTGCTGGTTCCCATCCTCTGCCCTTCTCAGAGGTCTGGATTTTCTAGCCTCAGGTCTCTTTCCCTTGGGAAGGCTCAGCCACTCCCAAGGCTGCTGCGGCCAGCTGAGCACATGGCTCAGATGCCTGTGGCCACTGACCTCCGAGACGTGCCCCTCAGGCTGTCTTCCAGGACCTGAGACTGACTCACTGTGTCCAATGCTGAACTCACATCTCCCCTCCTGACTGGCCCCTTCTCCTCAGTCTCCCCTGCAGTCACTTATGCCAAGAGCCTGGGGTCGTGTGAGGCTCCCTCTTCTCAGCTCCCAAACCTAGTCGCCAATTCTTATTGATTCTATCCCTAAATAGCCTCTGAATCTGCCATTCCTCTCCATACTCATCTACTTCGTCTGTCCATACAGCTACCAGAGGCATTTTCCCAAAAACACTTATTTCCTGATTCTCTTTTGCTTAAAATTCTCCTGTGACTTTCCATTGTCCTCAGAGTGGAGAGTCTAAGCCCCCTCCCAGGTTTCTGGCTCCTCACGCCTTTGTACACATTCCCATCTCCCAGTCTAGGCAAACCTATCCCTCAGCCTAGACACGCCTGTCCTCCCTTCTCATCCCTTTAGGGCTGCTTCAGATGTCCCCTCCTCTGTCCTGATACCCAGAGGCGTCATGGCTCCCAGCTCTGCGGGCTCGTGCCCCTCTCGCGGTGCAGTTGGCATACAGTTGGGCCTCCCGTATAGTCCGTTCCTCTCTGGGTCCCCAGGGCTGGTCCAGGGTGGGTATCATGGAGTGAATGTGGAGTGAGTGAATGGATGAGTGACTAGGCGATGGGTAGGCCCTGAGCACCTTTGCCTGGATATGCCCCGAACACCACTGAGGACCAAGTGGCTCAGGCCCTGGGCTCACCAGCATCTCATTGAGTGAGTGTGTTGGGTGTCAGAGGCAGAGCAGACACTTGGGAATGAGACAGGGTGGAGAGCTAGGCTTTGGATTCTAAGTCAGGCCACGAGAAGGTGCTGAGCCATGAGGCCTGTGTAGCAGGTAGGCTTCTTGGAGTAGGGGACATGGAAGGACAGGCAAAGGAGGGGCTAAGCATCCGGACCATTCACCATAGAAGGGCTGGGTATAAGACGGATGTTAGCGTGAGTGGAGGCAGCTGACAGGAGCTTAATGGATCAGGATTTCAACCCATGTAGTCATAGCCTGTGGTCACCTAGGACCCTGTGGTTTTCTTCCCTGCAGCCCTTCTGGGCTCAGCAGAAGGGGATGGGACATAGAGTTGAGCCTAAGGACCTAGGTCTGAGGTGGAAAGAGGGAGCGAGGATGATGAAATCTTATAGGACTTATCTCACCCCCCACCCCTATGGAGAAGAGGGTGGCTTCCCTGGAAACCCCAGACTGGAAGCAGGGGCTAGGTCCCTGAGGCTGCTTCTTCCCCTCTCTTCTAACTACCTTGTTTTGCTCTCATAGGCTCCTTACCCAAGTGGGTGGTGAATAAATCTTCTCAGTTCTTGGCTCCCAAGGTGAGTGGCCTTGGGACTTTGTGGGGTATGGAGGCTGGTGGAGAGGGTTTGAGGCTACAGAGCTAGGTAGACTCAGGGATGGAGACTGGGAGTCGGGGGGTGCAGTTAGGGCTGGGGGCAGGGTTATGAAACTGTGGCAAGAACTCTGGATGCTCAGAGCTGGGGCTGAGTAGCAAGCAGAAGAGCGCAGGAGGGGATATGGGCGTACCTGTGCTGTGCCTGTTCACCCGACTCAGCAGTGCCGCCGGTCCACAGGCCATGAAGAAGATGTACAAGGCGTGCGTCAAGTACCCTGAGTGGAAGCAGAAGCATCAGCCACACTTCAAGCCATGGCTGCACCCAGAGCAAAGCCCGTTGCCAAGCCTGGCGCTGTCGGAGCTGTCGGTGCAGCACGCGGACTCACTGGAGAACATCGACGAGAGCGCGGTGGCCGAGAGTCGGGAGGAGCGGATGGGTGGCGCTGGTGGCGAGGGCAGCGACGATGACACCTCGCTCACCTGAGCATGGAACCACAACAGGGACTGAGACGAGTCGGGCAGAGCCTGGGGGTGGCAGATCTTCCGCGCTTTCTCCCTTCCCACATCCCCTACGCCTCCTGAGGACGTTGGGCTCAGGCCTAGGTTGGCACTTCGGCCTGGCTGGACACAGCCCTAATAAACAATCCCACAGCCTCAACCGGCTCATGCAGTACCTGCACCCCACCTGCCCGGGCACGCCTGCTGCCCTTGGCCCCCTTGTTCTACAGTTCATTTTGTTAATGTTATCATTGATCGTCCGACCTTTGCTCCTTTAGGCGTCCCCTCCTCCCCAGGTGTAACTGGGGGACTGGGTTGTTCTGTTCCCTTTGTTTCTATTCATTAGTTCACTGCAGTTTTTATGATTTTTAAAATATGTATTTATTGATTCCAGAGAGAGAGAGAAACATCGATGGGTTGCCTCCCGCATGTGCCCCAACCAAGGACTGAACTGCAAACTAAACTCGTGCCCTGACCAGGAATGGAACCCATAGCCCTTTGGTACACAGTGCGATGCTCCAACCAATTGAGCCACACTGGTTGGGCCATTATTTCACTCTTTATCTATCCACTTGTCCTGGTTGCATGTTCATTCTGCCATTCTCTCCAGGCTATTTGACTGTCTTTCACTGCTCTAAGAGAAGGAGCAGATCTGGATAGAGGCCCTGCATCAGGGGTCAGAGGGTGGGCTTCTTCCATGTGACCTTCAGCCCCATGGAGAGGGAGGTTCTGCTTTGTGACCTTCAGCCTCCTAGGGTTCAGTCTATGGGCTGGGGGCCTGATCTCTCCAGGCATCAGGGAAGGGAGGTGGAGAGTTCCCTGGGTCTCACGCCACAGGGCCGAGGTTGAGGCAGCATGTTCTAGAGGAGGGAGGTTGGAGTTGAGGTGAGAGTCATCAGACTCCAGTGCTTTGAAGGGACCAGGCCCTGGTATTTTGAGCCCTGCTTAGGTCATTTTGAAGACCTCTGGACTGGCCATGCCACGTAGCTCATTAGGTTAGAGCAGCATCCTGATATGCTAAAGTTTTGGGTTTGATCCTTGGTCATGATGCATAAAAAAAAATCAACCAGTGAATGCATAAATAAGTGGAACAACAAATTGGTGGACATTTTGCCCCCCTCCCCCCCGTCTCTCTCCCTCTCAAATCAATTAAAAAAAAAAAAGACCTCCAGCCTGTGTTAACAAAAAGGATGGGGTCCCTAGCCCCCTGCCAGTGGTCGGATGCCAGGCCCTGTTCCTGTGTTCTACCTTGATGCTTTGAAGTCTAGAAGGATGCCTGGGTCTCCCCTGTTCTCTGTGGCCCTCAGGTGCCCTCAGCTGCCTGAGGGATACCCCTGCTGTGAGGTTGGGAGAAGGGCCCTGTGCTCTGCCCTCCCCAGAATGTTTGCACCTGATAATGAATTTGGGGCCAGGAAGTTCTCTCCCAGGCATGGCCCTGTTCTCCCTCCCAGGAAGTGACTTGCCTTAGCCTTGTCAGGAAGACGCAGTAGTGGTTTTCCTAGGGGGGCAGAGTAGAGGTCCAACAGTAGGCAGGAGATTCTATAACTCACCAAGACTGGGGTTCCAATCCCGGGTTTGCCCAATACTGGTTTTGTAACTTGGGGCAAGCTGGGGAGATTTTTGGAGCCTCATTTTCTAATCCATAACCTGCAGTGATGATTTTTGCCTTCAAGCAGAGGAGGCCTGAGATAAAAGGAGTGAATCGTTCAGCACTGGGCCTGGCATGCAGTAGGTGTAGGTACTCAAATTAATGACTCCCAGTCTCAAAGAGTAATCCCTCAGGTCCCACTCCAGTGAGAGCTGTTCTTACAAATGTGTCCACAGGGCATTTGGAGAAATAGAGTAAGATCTCTGGCTTGGCTGGCCCCAAAGGTGTTCTGGACACAGGAACCAGGAATGTCTGCCCTGGACCGCCATCTGTGTGTGTGCTTGCAGAATGGTAGAGACTATCCCGTTCTTTAGGCCAGCGAAGGTGCCTGGGTGCCAGAGCCTTAGGCAGCAGCCTTTAGCCTCGGGATCCTTAGCCACTCAGGGCGGGAATGTTCCCCACCACCCCGCCTCTGGGGGCGTGGCCCAGGGAGAGAAGTGAGGTAGCCCCGGAGAACGCGGTGGGGAAGGACTCCTTAGAAAAGGAGGACAGGGACCTAAGTCCTACGGTCTTTCACACCCTGGGGGTGGGGGCTCCTGGGAGGGGTGTGTGGCTAAATTACCGCTGGGCACCATTACCAGAAGAGGAGTAGCAAGAGGCCCGCAGACTCTGGAAGAGATGGAGACTCAGCGGGTGGTGGGGGTGGGGATAGAACCCGAGCCTCAGGAGACAAAACGGACCTCCGAGTGGCAGCAAGAGGAACAAGCGAGACACGCACACCGTTCTTATGCTCGGCGAGCTGGGACTCTGAAGAGCCGGGTCAGAGAGGGGGCGTGTCCATGCCCCTGCCCCGCCCTCCCCTCCCTGGGGCGTCACGTGGGGCGGGCGGAAGCACCCGGGGGGTGGGCGCGCCCGGCCTCAGGCCGCGAGTTGGCTGGTCCGGGTGAGTCTGTGGCTGCTTGGGAACGCCGGGTCCTTGCGTAGAGTCTTCGCTCAGAACAGGTCAGTGTGGTTGCCGGGACCTCCCCGTTGCGCTCCTTCCCCAAGCGTGGCCCGGAGTTTCCCATTCCGCAGAAGGGAACGCCGAGGCCCCGCGACGATTCCGTGCCGGCACCTACTTCCGCGGGTGTTTCGGGTTGTGTTTTCAGTTCTGCTATTCAGCGGCGGGGATGGGGACCGCTTCCTCAAGGTGCGCTGTCCGGTCAGACTGCAGGCAGGAGGGCGAACCGGAGGGACTCGGGGCGTCCTGCCCTCAGCCCTTTGGCAGGAAGGCTTTCGGGATCCGAAGCCAGTCCGTCGGACGCCTTGCTTTTCTCATTTGTGAAATGAAGGCTCCCACCTCATTGACCGCGGGGACCCCTGCGGCTCTGCACAAGGCATGACCCCGTGCCCAGGACCTGGGCAGTGACCTTGGGAAGACTATTTCCGGTCTCTGCGCCCCAATTCCCCACCAGTAAATGGTGGCATGGACTCCCAAGAGCCCGTACCTGGCCCCATTGCTGGAAAAAGGAGGTTTGTGTTCACACTGAATGGGGTCAAGGCAGCAGTGGGTTTTTGGGACTGGAGAGAGCAGACTTGGAGTTCAGCCTGGGGGGAATGGGATGGGTGTTTAGTCCCAGATCGCCAGAGGTGTTTTTGGTGCTCTGGGGAGCTTGGGTTAAAAGCCATCCCCGTATGGCTCCTAGCGTATGTACACCGTCCCCCAAAGCTCCTGCCCTGGGAGCATTCCCTTATCCTCAGGCTTGGGGGGCAGGGAGGGCTGCAGGGTCAAGCAGATGTGCAGAGGTGCTCGGGTTACTGTGTGAGCACTGAAGTCCAGACAGAGGCACCCAGGATACCTGTTCTCAGACAGCAGATAGTGCCCAGGCTAGGGGAGATCTCCCAGTAAGCTCATTACAGAGTAGAGGGATACCAGCAGAGTCACAAAGGCAGATGCAGATAGGCACTGAGATAGAATCAGGGACTAGAGCTCTTGGAGGCCCAGGGAGGAGATGACTGCAATGGTCCTCAGCAACGATAAGGATCCCCCCGAAGAGGGCATAGCTTGTGCAAGGGCAGGAACTTGCACGGCATATTTGAGGAATGGCACGGAAATGGGTATGGCGTGAAAGGGTAGCAGCGGCCGGGTGTAGAGAGAACTCACCCCCCTGTCCCATGGCTGGTTTGGGATTGTCTAGACCTTGGCCTGGGGACTCTGCCTCCCCATTTGCCACTTGCTTACAGGGGTCCGTCCCAGGCAGAGACCTGGCAACTGGGGAGGGGAAAATTGGCAGAGGCCACCAGGGGCCCAGATTGTACCACGGCTTCTTTGGGGCATTCCCTGCTTAGTCCCAGCCTCACCCCCGTCACCTGTCAGGATCCAGTCATGCTTGTCTGTACATCAAGCCTCAGCCCTTTGTGCAGGTCCCACCCCCAAAGTTTTCTCGCCTCCAAATGCCCTAGATCCTTTGGGGCTTCAGAAGTGGGCTGCCCTACTGCTGCCTAGCTTTTCAGTGCTGTGTAGTGGCTCAGCTTAGCAAGGGCTTCCTTGGAGCACTGTGGGGAAAGGGCCTGCAACACTAAGGGAGTGTCTGGGACCTGGGGCAGTGTCTGTGCTGCTACCACACCCCATGTGATTGCATACCCGAAGATGTCTCAGTTCCTCAGAGCCTCCATTTCCCCATCTGCAGAATGGACTGGTAAGCCCATGCTCCGAAAAAGAGCCTCGTCCGGGGCTGGGGCTGGGCCTGAGTCTAATCCTGCCCCCAGCAGTGAGTATTTGATGAAGAAAAGGCAGAACTTGGGGGAAGGGGTCAGCTCAGAGCAGTAAGGGGCCTCTGAGAGTCCTGGGGGCTAGTGATGGACTAGCCCAGTACTAGGGCATCAGCTGGAAGAAGGGAGTCCCCTCTACTCTCCCCAGGGTGGGGGGGAGGGGCGAGGGGCTCTCCCCTCTCCACCCTATTCTCCCTTTGGCCAAGCTCAAAGCCAGCCGGCTGATGCCTAAACAAGTAGCTTCTGTTCCCAAGGTAGGGGGAGGGGAGGCAGGCCCTGGGCTCTAGCCCTGACCCTGCCTCTTCCTCCCCCCACCCCCTTCAGATCTGGATCTTAACCCTTGGAGGCCTGGGATGGGCCCTGGGCTACTTGAGGTGTGGTATCCCTTGTCCACCAGCTGTGCCTTTTAGCCCACTTTAGGCTTCCAAGGTTTCTGTTGCAGCGGGGGTGGGGGGAGGGTGGGGGGTGCAATAGGACAGGAGCTGGAAATGGAGAAGGAAGGAGGAAATGGAGGTGGGAGGGAGGCTGGAGCAGATATGGCCATGGACCGTCAGTGACCACTTGGTCCAGCTTTTTTCACAGATGGGGAGACTGAGGCCAAGGCCAGAGATTGGACCTGGGTCACACAGAGAGCCCTGGTGGGAGCCCGGACTGACCCCGACTTCCAGTCTGGCCCTTTTACTTGGAACCTCCAGTAAAAGGGGAAGACACTCGGAGCTGAGTAATGACTTCAGCTGGAATGACAGCGACAGTGACCATGCACACAGCACTGCTGCACTTTATTTTACAGTTTTATTTATCTTTTAGAGATGGGGTGGGGG